TCAGTTAGTACGGGCCTGTATTTTCCCGAATTTGCAGATATGTCCATCACAAATTTTCCTTACAGATAGGTCTCTCGGTTAGCCCTCAGCCAAACAAAATAATGAATCTAACCTACGACGCAACCCGACTGGGGCAAGCCCCGAGCTTCGCCCTCGGACCAATGTACACTCCACTGAGAATCTGCAGGCTTCATTACATATGCATGTCGGAAGATCCCCTCCGTACATCAGAAAAAGGAGATTGAGCCTCTCGTAAAGAAAAGGAGGCCATGAACGGCCGATTTATTTTATGAACAGTCCACATGGCCTCCAATTTTTTTTATTTATTTTTTATTTATTTATTTTTTAGGTGAGGCTCAATCTGCTTTTTCGGATGTACTGGGCCGAGGTCCCACTAGCAAAGAGAATTGGATTGAACGCTTGAATCGAATCGAGATTGAAAAGGAGTTCAATCTCGATTCGATTCAGGCGTTCATGCTCTTGTAGTGGCTAAGTGTTGCACAAAATTATGAAACAATCAGGGTTGCCGGCGTTCGGGACGGGCCGAACGCCCGAACCCGAACGCCCGAACGTTCGGCACCCCCTCTCGACGCGTTCGGCCGTTCGGCCGAACGCGGACCCAAAAAAAACAAACAAAAAAAAGACAAATAATTCCAAAAACTCTGAAAACAATATATGTTATGCAGAAGAATAAACTGAACAACATTTGCCCCAACGTTACATCCAAATTATTTACCAAATTTGAAATAAAAATCAAATACTAAAAATAAATAATAATAATGAAAATTAGAAAAAATAAAACTAGAATGAAATTATTGAGTGGGTGAGCACGTTTTTGACACCGCCATCTTTGGCGATTTTTCATTTTATTTTGGCTGTGACAAATGCCATGAAAAATTTTATATGTGTATCTTACATAATAGAGAATCTACGAATAAAGTTTTTAAAAATAATAATTTTTTTCATGCCCCGAAATAAAGGAAAAACAAAAAGTGAAAAGAGAGAAAAAACAAATTAGTGAGTGGGCAAGCATGTTTTGACACCACCATCTTTGCCGATTTTTCATTATTTTTTGGGTGAACAGAATGGCTTCAAATTTTAGGGGGAGATACCTTGCATCACAAAGAACACACAGAAAAAAATTCAGAAACAAATATTAATATTTACGTTCCACAATATTTTTTTGCGGGGTCCGAACCCCTTCAGGTTCGGGCCCCGTACGGGGACCTGAACGCCCGAACGTTCGGGGGTCAGCGTAGGGGCCTCCGTACGTTCGGCCTGGCAACCCTGGAAACAATAATAATAATAATAATAATAATAATAATAAAATTAAAAATTTTATGAAACCGGCGATAAAGAGATTAACAGTTGAATTCTCCGCAGAATCTTGCTTAGGTACAATGACATTCAGGGACAGCTAA